AGGACCTGTATACGTTGTCTATTATCTGATTTACTGTTAAGGTATTTAGAAAGCAATTCATCAAATGCATTACAAGATAAAAAGGGATAATCCTGAGGTTCGGTCATCAAATAGTGAGAATTGTAAAAAATAAACAAGAGAAATAAAAAATAAATAATAAATAGTATAATAAAAGCTTGTATTTAAATATTTGACAATCATTATAGTCAATTCTTTTTAAGTACAATCTCTCTAAGTGCAACTTTAAATCCTGGCCTAAGTATATGTTTAACCTCTATAAATACAATTTTGCTTAATTGTTCCCTAAATACATGTGCTAAAGGTTTGATCCCCACGAATTGCACTTAGAGGAAGTTGACTGTATAAAGATAAGATATCGTTACTTCAATTAATTACTCATGTATTACAGTATCGAATTCAAAATCAAGTTATTACATATTGAATTTAATGATTTATTGTATTATATATCAATTTTAGAATTGCTTTTAGATTTTGGGTTGCTTTTGGAATTTCGCTTCAACCCAAGTAGATTCTAGCTCTACAATAATTCTATTCCAATGTACAACATGAGCATCTGATGACCTATATATGTTGATAATATTGCTACACTTCAGACAATGATCATTAATGCCAATCATAATATGTGTCAAAGTATGCTTCCAAAAATGGAGTTTTCTAATTTCTCTTCCACTTCTAACTGGTTCTACTAATTATTCACATATCTGAGTACCTGCGTTATTAATCAATTTTATAGTACTCTGATAGTGAAGTGGAGAAGAAATTAGTAAACTCCCAAAAGTGACCTATGTCACTATGAAATTCCAAACAACATGTAATATGTAATAAACAAACTTATATCTTTAAAGTAATTGATCTAAATACCAATATAAGGTAAGTAATAACATTTTGACTATAATTTAATGTTATTTAACAACAGGAACTTCAACAAAAGCAATGGGTTAACTTGATAAAGCTGCTAATATAATATAATTAGCTTTCATCAAATAGGTAAAATAGTATAATTATACAAGGATACGTATCACTTCACAGAAAATCATTTTACAGACACCTTATTTCACAGACAATCAATTTATAGACAGGTTTATTTTAAAGACAATTAATCCACAAATAGTTCATTTTACAAACAATTTATTTTACAGACATTAATGTCAAAATCAATATAAATTCCTAATTATTTTGGGATTCAGTAATTGGATTTAGGTAATTTTGACTTGATAGAATCATCTTACCAAGGTGATTATTTTGGTAATTAATTATCCAAAACAGACCACTGGATCGGAACTATTCTCTTTTAAAGATAGTCCATAAAATAAACCGTTTGTAAAATGAGCTGTCTATTCATTGAACTGTCTGTGAATTAATTGTCTTTGAAATAAGCTTATCTATTAATTGATTGTCTATGTAATAAGATGTCTATGAAATAATTTTCTATAAAATGATATGGGAATTTGCTAATCTATTTAAGTAAATTTTTTAAGAGCATATCATCAATCCAGTTCTTCAAGGTAAATTCATGATATTTATTAGAAATTCCTGGAACCAACCGATTAGAAAACACATTAGAATTATAAATATATTCTACTTTTCTAGAAATGTAGATATTGGAACAATTTTTTCATAAGATATATTTCAACCGTATTATCTTTATACAAGCGCCTGATCTATTCTTTTAGATCTTTTGGGGTTTTTAAGCAATTTTTATTGGTAGTCTCAATAATAGGAAATTCAAATATTGTTGCATCTTCAAATGGATTCTCTCTTTGTGAATGATATGAATCAAGTGCCCATGCCAGATGAGATTTTAAGTGCTCAATTTGCACAGGTTTTGCATCAACAAAATTTCTGAGAATTAATTTTCCTCCAGCAAGTAGTTTTTTTAGCAAAAAAGTGCACCTATTTGGCATAATTATCTGTTATGAAGGCCTCCTCTTCACTATTTAAATTAAACTTAAAACCTTTATTTATCGGCCCATTATAAGTAATCTCAGCAATGGGAAATAAAAGACATACATCGGTTTCAGAAATATCATTAATAGAGTTTTCTTTTGTTGATGAAAGCTCTGGATAACTATCTCATAATTTATTCCAGAATGATTTTGTTTTATCCGAATTGTCACTAACTACTATATATACTAACTGTTCCCTGAATATGTAACAATATCTACCGTAAACTGCCGTATAAAGGACCCGGGTCTCTTACATTCCACCAAAAAAATTAATTAGTAAAAAAAAGAAAATAATTAGTAAAAAATGGGGGTGGG